CATAATATCTGCAAGTGTATTCATTTGCCTGCACAAACAGGGAGTAGCACATTGCTTGAAAGAATGCGTCGCGGGTATAGTAGAGAGGCATATTTAGAGCTCGTTCAAAAGATACGCACAATCATTCCAGATGTCGGAATAAGTAGTGATTTTATTTGTGGTAAGGTTTTATTATGTTAGTGTGGCTTACTATTTCTGTTAATATACTTGCACATGAAACATATGTAGTTGGCCTTTTTAGCCATTGTTTCGAGCAGACTTGCATGTGAAACATAGGCAGTGTGAGCCAAGTTTATACTATCATGCTTTGCTAAAATAGGAGTTAAAGCATACATCAGTTTAATCGTGTAATTAAGAGCCTCGGATTCTAGGGTTGGTAGAGAACATTTTGGGCATATCATTGATGAATCCTAGGTAATGAACATTCACGATAAAAAATTATGCATAGTGAGTCCACCTGTAAAACATCTTCACCTTGTACATTTTGACCTGCAATTTCCTGGGTTGCACTCTTATTATCTGGATTTTTGTGGGCAGGTTTCTGTGGTGAAATAGAAGAGGAACACAAAGACACGGTAAGCCTAATAAAGGCTGTTGGTTATGATATGGCATTCATGTTTGCATACATGAGAGAGAAAACTCACGCGCATAGAAACTACACCGATGATGTTCCTGAAGAAGTGAACAAAGAAGGCTCACCGAACTTATAAAGGCTTTCCATGAGAGTACTTGTCAGCGTTATGACTCCCAGGTAGGAACCATCCAACTTGTTTTGGTTGAAGGACCGAACAAGAAAACTCCAGAAACAGAGCTCGTGGGCAAAAGCGATAGAGGCCATAGAGTTTTATTTGCTAATCTTCCTCTGCTGGATCGAGATAATCTGATGGATGGCAAAAGGAATCCCGCTGTTGGCGATTATGTAGAAGTTCATATAACAAAGTCCACAAGAACATCACTTCATGGAGAGGCACTAGCTATAACCAAATTAACCACTTTTTACAACATGTGGAGAATGATGCAGTTGCCTGTGGTATCTGAAGTAGAAAACTGGCCGCATTTTACCGCTGTGCACCAGGTTGTCTTCTAAATAGTTTCATCTATTTTGCATGAATTACAGGCATTCTCGTCTTGTTTCATAATACTAAAATAACTTATGCTATTAATGCTAGGCTATTATGGTTATTTGCAAGGTATTGAATTTAATGTGAATGCTGTGCTGAATTTAGGTCCTTGAAAGAGAATTTGGTGGAAGATTATTGAATAAAAAATGCCATATATTGATATTTTAATGACATTTTTTTAATTAGACAATATTTAAGATACAGTTAGAAATATCATTAGAAGATATAAATGCTAAAAATGTCTGCTGTTTAAAAATGAAAATTCGGTATACATACGCATACTTTAGATAAAAAAATAGTCTTAAGAAATGTAGTAGGTAGTAGGGTATAAATAGAGTATTCGATGATTTATTCACAATAACGTTCATTTATGTTAGTTTATTAAGTTAAATAAAAAGTATGAACAAAATTTTATGTTTTTTAAACAAACGAACTCAAATAGGGTGTATTCGATTCATTTATTTTTACGAACAAATCATTTATTGACTTGTTTATAAATTTGTTTATCATGTTTTCTTTTTTCTTTTACATTTTAAATATTGGTGAATGTATGGATTAGATTGAATCTATAGTTAACTTTGAAGTTCAAATATTGAATAAAGAATGTTGAATGTCCAACATGTTTGTAAACCTTAAATGAACATGTTTATGAACCTAAACGAAATGAACATGTTCATGAACGTTAATGAAGTGAACACAAACATCTTAGAAAATGAACAAATGAATTAATATAATACATTAACAAATAAATAACAAAAATAATCTTATTTGTTAATATTTGTTTAAGCCCGAGTCACTTACACCAATGGTAAGAGGACAGAATGAGTCATAAGTCCTCCAGACATGAAAGATGAGAAAATAGAAATAATAATCAAGCAGAAGTACTAGAGGCAGTCATATGCTTTAACACAGTCTGTTGAACTCATCTTTCTGTGCTCCTACAACTTGTCCCAGAATCTTACCCTCCTGAGAACATGAAAGTCGGCATTGCCTCGACAGCCCAATCGGCAGCAACATCCTGAGAAAAGAAACAAAAAACTCGAATTTGATCGACTTGTACATATCCAACACCTTGATAGAATATTGGTGACTTTAATTCTGGATTTTTACCTTCAACTCATCAACATCCACCTTAAGAAAGGTGACAGAAGGGATTTCTTGGCTAGTTCCGCCAGGAATGGTGAGATAAAGCGGCAGGGTCCACACCAGATGCAGTGAATCAAACCAACCACCACCTCATTTATCACATTATCATAAACATATACCTTTCCCAATTAAGAAGGTGCAAAAATAAAAGCTGAAAAAGTTCTCAGAGCACATGGCTACAGAGAACAAGCTAAAACTTCCGATTTCAGAGGTGAGCATCGGATATGAAAATCTCATACTCAGTGATGGATTTAAACATATTTTTGAGGGTATATATCAAGTAACGGAATTTGCCACCATAATATAACATTTATTTCCATAGTGTACGTTACTATTGTCATTCTTAAGCACCTTTCCCTTTTATCAGGACGTTTTTGTTTAACAATTATAAGTTACAAACCTTAACAGCAGTGAGGGAGCTATGTTATCACTCTAGAAAAATTGCTCCCTAATTCCTTTTTTGTATTAAAAAATGTATAGATATATTTATTTATTTAGATTTTATTCTCCCTTTTCTATTGAATTAGATTTTGCCTCTACTCTTCTTAACAGAGAAAGATTCAACCAAACATTTTCTATTGTTAAACTTGGAATCCGTCATTCATGAGCCTAATCTTGAATAATTGTTATAGTTAAAAAAAATAAAAGAAAAAGGTCCCTTCACCGACGACAGAAATCTTTTTTCTTTTCATTTCCTGTAAGCTTAAAGCCTTAAACGTTACAAACGGTAAATTATTCAGATTAAAATTCCAAATCCAGAAACAAATGAAAGCAGGTCAGATCTGGAAAAAACAAAATAATCATAAATGAAAGCTAAAAGAAAAATCGAATAAAATATATTAGAGAAAACGAAGGAAACAAAACAAAATACCAGTTTTTTTGGATTCGTTGCATTCTTGAAGCTGCTCGTTCCAAGCCTGAAGACTGTGGCAAGCGGTCACTTGGCCTTCCTCTGCTGCCATTTTAATTTCGTTCTTCAAAGGAGACTGTGAACCGAATTCAAATGTATAAAATAATACTATAAATTCGCCATGCAAAAAATGCTTCTCTCTGTTTTTGTTATCTCATTCCCTTTGCTCTGCTTAAATAAGCAAATTCAGCTTTCGTCAATGGGATGGGCCAAGAGTTTTGGTTTAATTACGATTCTACCATTTTCTATGTATAAATCTATGATTATTATAATAATTAGTATATTATTTTAAAATTTAATATTATTATATGCAAAATGGTCTATCATAGTTTGTTATTATATTATTTAACTAACATTTAAAATTTACCAAGTAAACTAAACTAAACTAAATCAACAACCATCTTATAAAAAAGTTTGTTTTACCAAAAAATTGAACCGAAATTTAATGCAGCCAATTTTGACTAATAATAGAAGGAAAATCTACATATGACAAACAATTAAGATATACCATATATAATACCTTAAGAATGATTACGATACGGGTAAGCACACCAATATATACTAACATGAAACATATACATCAATAGCCATGAAGATTAAGGGCATATCTTCCACCACATTAATGGAGTTGAGGTTGAAAAACATGAAAAAGCTACAATTCTTGAAACAGTAAGTACCAAGAAGGAACCAACCAACAAGAAGGGATGCAAAGAGGGCCAAGAAGAAAAGGTATGTCGTTCCACCGAACACGAGTCCGAGACTGGATACGATAACAGATGGCAAGAAATTTCGCAAAAATCCTATTCTGTTCGCCCACTGTCCCTTGAATAAGACGAGAAGAGCAACGCTAACTACATTCCACCCACCAGAATGAACGCCTAACCTGTTCAAGTTGTTTGCTACAAATGAATGGCAATTGCATGTGAAATATCAAGAGTGTGAGTGTTCGATGTCAAAAGGTTGAGAATTATCTTTAAATAAATATTACCTTGTATTATCATGTACAAATGGTCCTTTGACTGTAGGTTATTGCTTAAACAACCAAACATATTTTAAAGGAAAATGATACGTTTGGAACATAATGAATAGTCGAGTGATCATTTTGTAACTTTTAATAGTTAAAGGACTTAACAAAACAACATTCTATAGTCAAATGATCATTTTGTAACTTTTAATAGTTAAAGGATTTAATAAAATAATATTTTATAATTAGGGGATCATTTGTGTAATTTATCCTTTTTAATAGAAAATGGTTTTTATTTAAAATATTATTCTTATTTCTCAAATGTAGGATTTCTAAGTTTAGGGTAACATTTAGGTTTGAACCTAAATTGTAATCTAAATTATATAATTTATTATAAATATTATAATATTTAAAATTTCAATCTAAAATATTATATGTGTCAATCTAAAAAATTATATATTCGATAAGAAAAATAATTACAACTTAAAAACGTTACTGTTATTTCTCAAATGAAAATGATTGGAACCAAAAAGGTTATCCAAACTATACAAGTTATTATAAATTTAATAACATTTTAAGTTTTAATCTAAAATATTATTCGATTCAAATCTAAAAAATAATATATTTGATAAGATAAACGATTTTTAAATTAAAATATTATCATTATTTTCCAATGAAAAAACTCTGAACTCTTTTCAGAATCCCAGTAGTCTGACTGGTCCACTGGATTCGATTATCAGCTAACTTAGATCAATTCCATTTAGTAATCCAATTTGATTTTCTTCAACGCAGGGACGTGCTTTGTATTCATCAATATTATAAGATAACAACGGACAAAATGATTGTCCAAACCAAAACATGTTGGCTATTAGAGCTCAGAGAAGCCACCCTCTGTGTTCCTTTCAACATTAATAATAATAATAAGTACCAAAAGAATTGATTCGCATATTATGGCATCTCATGTTGAATGATGATCAAAACAATTCAAACTTTTCTAATATATATTTCTAAAATATGTGATTTTCCCCCCATCAATTTGAATAGAACCTCCTGCTTCATACGATCCATAATGCCCATTCCTGTGGATCAGATGACCGGTTTTGCCATGCAGCTGACAAGGTATCAATGTCCCTCAACTCTGCAAATTATGTCCCAGGGGCCTCAAGCAATGGCTTAATGAAGGTGGATTCGACGCCGTTACATTCAGACATCGAGTGAATCGGTTCGTTTTCGGATAGGAACTTGCTCTCTTCATTTTTTCCTAGGATCACCAGATACAATCCTGCTATGATCAGTGCTGCTCCAACTACCCTGCAAATTTCACATATTTCTTGATACGGTAAGTAAAACTCGTAGATCCGAATGAAGTTTCATTGCAGGCGACAATGGATGCTTGGATGTTAAGACTTACCCTCCCAAGTAGAATTCTTCACCCAATGTAACAGTAGCCAGTACAGCTGCAAGTAAGGTTTGCAGAGGTAAATACATGGAGACGAACAAGGGACCTCCTCTGTCAACAACATATATTTGTAATGCAAACACCATTGCTGAAGCTATGAGTCCCTGCTCAACATCAAACATGAATCGTGAACTCAAAAAATACAATGATTAATACAGTTTGGGTTCTCGGTTTTAAGGTTTTTGCCAATACCGACCGTGTAGACAATAGTGAAGACTTCACTGCCGGAGTGAACCTGCCAAGCTAGGGGGTCTTTTTCGACGGCGGCCGCGATGGCACCAAACTGCATAACGGCAAAAAAGCAAGTGTACGAAACGAACGAGAGCCGAGCCGGGTATTCCTTTAGGACTGGTGCTTGTAAAACGATCCAGCTTGACCAGCAAAGGGAATGGCCTATGAGACATATGCAACCAATTGTCCAGTTCTTCCCTTGTGCATCTCCAAAAGATGAAAAGAGTGACTTATTTGAAGGTGAATTGGGACTATAAACGATTGGCCCTTTGTAAAGGGTTATAACTAAAGCTCCAGCTACTGAAGCAAGAGTTCCGAACACCTTAGCTATTCCATCTTTACGATTCAAGTGTACTTGTTCCATCCTTCAAAGAAAAAAAAAGACATACCATTGTTCTAAAATACGGATCTGAGTACGATTCTTCGATTATGCAAAGAAATTCAGGGAAAAATGAGCATACTCAAATCCGATATTAACCCAGAGTTGAAGTACTAAGTGTCTATCTCTCACCTCAGTAAGGCAGCCATGATGAAAGTCACAGCTGGGACAGAATTCTCAGTAGCAGAAGCTAATGCAGGCGATGTGTTGTCTAAGCCAAATATGTAAAATCCTTGATTCAATGTTATTCTGGCAAAACAGAAAGAAAGAACAACTAGATTACTTGATTGATCCATACGAAAATTGGAAAAATTGTTGATAAATGATTCACAGTTGATACCCTACCCGATAAATCCAAGGAGGAAGAATTGTATCAGGAAAGAAACGGTCAGTGCTGGTCTTTTTTTCCTGCAAAAAACAAGTTAAAGGAGTTGTGGAAAATAAATAGAACTGAAATTGCAAAGATACTTGATTTTGTACTCCAACAAAATGGCATACTTTTCTAGGAAATAGGCAGAGGGGGCCAAGGCAAGCAGGGCCAAGATGTTCCTATAAAAGGGGAAAACAAGCTTGCTTACACCCATATTAAGAGCAACTCGCATGATTACATGATTCACGGCATAACCGAGCTGAAAAACATTCATGGCAATATGCAGCTTGGCTCGTTCAGGCACTCCGCATGTTCTCGCAGCAGAGGCAAAGCCAGAGACAGCCTCAGCCATTGGAGATGGGAAACCAGGCAAAGGGGAAATAGTGAATAATTGAGAGGATGCTAGTATGGTGTATATAATTAAAGAGAACATGACGAGTACTGTGTAATCAAAGCTTATAAAATAGTCATAATTATTATTTAATTTGTTGACAGAAGCCTAATTTACTTGTGGAAATTTGCATCTCTGGATCGACCTCAAGCTTGTCCACGTCAGATTTCTCGTATTTTTTTACTTTTATTTAGAATCATGTATGATTGAGTACATGATGTCAACAATCGCATGGGAAATTGGGGGTCTCCCCCTATAGATAAGATTCCAAGGCTGAGTATTACAACTGGCAAAGAAGTAATGGACAAAACTAGAGAAAAAATTGGAGATGATAGCTGATTAATTAGTGAAATAGTGATATTTTTATAATGTAGGTGAAGCAGTCGAAAACTGATATTTATTTTGGAAAAGTTGTTAGTAGCGGCTTACGACTTTGCCCTAATTTTTTTTTCCTGCTGTTACAGTTTTAGGACCAAATTGAAAGAAAATTAAAAATGTTAACGCTAAAGTAAAATTATATAAAGATACGAACGCATAATAAAATGAAACAGTGAGTTTAAGAGGCGTTCAAAATAATTTATGAAGATTTAATTCAACTTGAAGCTGATTTTTTATAATTCTTATTTTAATCCCTGTACTTTCATTTATTTACAATTTGGTTCTAAAATAAAAAAATAGAGCAAAGTTGTCAGCAGTTGCGACAACTTCAACAAAGTGATCCTCATCTGCTGCCAATTTTGCACCATTTTTTTTACATTTTAGAATCAATTTGAAAGAAAATTAAGTATAGAGACTAAAATAAAATCTTATAAATCCACTATACAATAAAATGAAACGATGAGTTTAAGAAAAGAACCTAAAAGTTCAATTCATCTAGAGTTGATTTAAAAAAAACTTATTTTAATCTTTCCACTTTTATTTCTTAAAAATTTAGTTCCAAATTTAACTGAAGTAATGTTTAGGCACGGATATGCTAATAGAACCAAAATGATGAATTTGTATTCTTGGAGATGATAAGTTTTGTACATGGATTTTCTATTTCCATTTTTATGCATAAACTTCAAGCAGCCATGGTGGGTTCCTAATAACTTGTTTCATTGTTCATATTAAAAAATACGATACACTACACATTTAGAACCTAAACTATCAATTTTGATCCGTTTTAGTACCTGAACTTTCGATTTTTTCAAAACCATATCTAACGTTTAGTTTTCTTTTTAATACCACACCATCAAAAACTTAATGTGTTTAGTACCTAAACTATCGGTTTTGGTCCGTTTTAATATCTAAACTTTCATTTTGTTCAAAACTTTAACATTAAATTTTGAAAGGGAGTACTAAAATGAAACAAAAACTAAACTTTATGTATGATTTGAAAAAAATCAAAAAGTCTAGGTACTAAAATGAAACAAAAACTAAACTTTAGGTATGATTTTGAAAAAATGAAAATTTAGGTATTAAAATGGACCAAAATTGATAGTTTAGGTACTACATGTGTAATTTACCCTAAAAATATATATTAATATCAGCATTTAGTTTTGAATTCCTTAACAGCATTGGAACTTCTGCATATGGTCCATAGCAACAGCCCCCAAGCATTCATCTAATCAAAGAGCAACAAAGAACTTATAAACACACAAACACATATATGTATCATCAGAATCAGATAATTTGGACACTCCAATGGCCAGCAGGAGAGGAAATATAGCCTTCTCCAGGCAACCAATTTTGACAAAAAACTATCTACTTACATATCAATAAACAACAAAATAGCTAAAAGGGTCTATAGAAAGTATAGATTATGTGAAAACTAAATCAAAGTTATTGCTCCTTCCCCACACCTGCATTTATAGTGAAGTTAAGATCAAAGTCGTAGTTTTCCATAACGACGAAGAACTATAAGATAACCTCAAAGTGACATGCATTTAGCACAGAGCATTCAACAATATCTTGCTGTGAACTTACTAAATTCACAACCCAAAGGGCCAGAGATGATTCTCTAACTCTCAGGCTGCATTACGAATCACGAGTCGGATCAAAATGACTGCATTCCCTTCTTTCTAACAGTTCATCGACTTGCAGATGCAAGCTTTTGCAATGTACCGTTACTGACTGCGTTACGGAGATCTACATGGTACAAATGAATAAGAAAAATGAAATCAATATATAATATATATGTATGAATTTATAATATCAAGGAAAACAATTACTATCGAGACTATATAGCTAACCATCAGAGCCTCCAATATGCTTTCCATTCACAAAAACTTGTGGAACGGTGCTTCGACCCACCAAATCCAGAAGGACATGCTGGATTTTAGCTCCATCATCTAAAACAAAAAACTCAACAACTCAATGCTTCATTTAAAATTACTCTATTTGTACATATACAATATACACTCAAATACCTCGGAGATCAAGCTCTACAACATAGGGTTTCTCATTTAGTTCACTGAAAATGCGTTTGGCGCGAAGGCAATACCTACGAGCAAACACAAAGCAAAAGAATTTGAAGCAACCCATCATACCTAATCACAAAAACCCAAGAATTGAACGTCCAATTATCCATTTGAAGAAATACCCATGAAGAAAATTGGGTAAATGTAAAAGAAAATGAGAAAAAACGACATACGGGCAATAGGATTTGGAGAACATAACAATCTTGTAGGAGAAGATGGCGTTTTGGACGAAGGCGGAAGGCGAATTGTTGGGTTTGGCTAGCCTTAGAGCATTTCCGATCACCAGCAACACCAAGACCGCGCCGAAGAGTGTAAGGATCAACCTCGATCGCCTCAACATTTCTTCTATTTCTTATAATCCAGAGGGGGAAATATATGGGGTTTTGTATGTAACTAACAAATGAATGGAGTTCACCAATTTTTAGAGTTTCATGTTCTCGTTTTACACGTCAAGCTTTTAAAGATGTTATCGCCGGCAGCTATTACGTATTCAATATTTATATACGTAATATTTAAATTATAAGTTTAGTTCGTTTTAATATTTAAATTTTAAATTTAATGTTGTATTTTAGTACTCATCGATAAAAATTTAAACGGATGATATCCACTTGACACTTTTTGTAAACTACATCATTCATTAATAAATTATTTCCTCACTTACTTTAGTCACTAATCTTTACTTTTTAAATTTAATTATTTAATTTTTAAATTACTCTTAATTTAATCACTATAACTTTTAAATTTATTTTTTATTTTTTATTACATATTAATAAAATAATAAAAAAATGTCATTTCATAAAAAATATTAATAAAATAAATTGGAGTGATTAAATTGAAGCAATTTGAAAGTGTAGTTAAATTGAAATTTTTTAAACTTTAGTACGAAATAGGAGTGAGAAGCTAGTTAAGTGATGAATGATGTAATTTACCCATAAAAAATACAGTTAAGTTTTAAAAATGAAACCAAAACTAAATTTATATAATTTTAAAAAAATTAAAAATTTAAACATTAAATAAAATCAAAATTAATAATTTAAGTACTAAATACGTAATTCATTTTAAAAATTAAGGGTAAATCTAGTACATTTGACTTTGAAGTTAAGATTTTGACCCAGTAAATATTTACGACTATATAGTTAAATAATACCATAAAATATTTTTTCTGAACTATATTAAAATTAATTTTCTAAACGAGATTTATTTTAAAAAAAAGACAAATCAACAAATGATGGAGACTCCATCAGCGGATGTAATGCCATAAAATATTTTTTTCGTATGTATATTAAAAATGTTCTGGAGTGAAGACTTTGGAGTAGGGGTGTTAAAACGATTAATTCGGTCACTGACCGAATCGAATTTTTATTAATTGAATTAATCATTTTTTTTCTTTAACCGTTAATCGATTCAATTTTTTTTTGAAAATATTAACCTAATTGAACCGAACAAAATTCAGTTATTTCATTCGGTTAACCGAATTAACAGATTTTTTTATAATTTATTTAATTAGATTAATTTGAATATAATAACAGAATTTTTATATTTGGATTAAAATTTTAATTAGGTATTGATAATTTAATGAGATTAGTGTGGTTAGAAAATAATTGAGTCTTAATTCTTAATGAGTTTAAGCTTAAAATATGTATTTAATATATACAATATATTTCATATTTAATAATTTCAGTTAATTCAGTTAATTAACCGATTTCAAACCGAATTAATAGTTAACCGAATATTGAAAAAATGTTAATCGTTCTCCGACCGAACTAATTCAATTCGATCGATTAATTCGGTTAAAACCTAAAAATGAACACCCTACTTCGGAGTATACGGATGGATCGAAAGGACGGGTGGAGATAATTGTTTTATTTTAAAAAATTTAAATTTATCATATATTTTAGATTTTGTATTTAGATTTTCAATTAATAATCCTTTTTTTTAATAAGCATTTCATTACCAATCAACATGTACAACCAAGAATAAATAAATATCTCACTATACAGCCAGCCCCCAGGCTACTCAACTATCACTACTCAATTGACTCAATTTGCACCCATCCATGCCACTATCCTTCACCCGAACCATATCTGATGGAATTGTATGGGAAATTTTAAACAAAAGAGGAAAATAGGATATGAATGAAGATGAATAAATTAGGGCTAGGGATTGGGTTTTGTTTAAAGGGGAAGAGATGACCATTGGAGACATTTGACTCTACATTGTGGCACTCCAAGTCAGTATATAATGGTCCAATTGTGTTTTCCTTCACGTCTATCAATGACTGTTAACGTCGATTGACCATTTTATAACAAACGATAATGTTAGTGACCAATTTGTGACTTTTTAAACATCAATGGTGGAAATGAACACTACCCCAAAGATGAGTTACCATTGACGTAGTTTACCCAAAAATATATGTAAAAATACGACATAGATGCAAGACATGATGAATATAGTGCTTACAAAGCTAAGGCTAGCTACTTTGCAAAAGGTAAGGTATTATTTATTTGTTTATATTCACAGCACAAAAATAATATGGTATTCTTATATGCCCAACTTGAATAATGAATGATACATTACTGTTATAGCTGACGTTTTAAATTTTGGAGAACAAACTAACAGTCAAAATGCACACAATTGTTATGGTTACCTTATCTAGGGTGCCAATAGCTACATGAAGCTCCCTTGTTGCATTCTCCCCTTTCATACAATTTACAAACCCGTTGCCCTTTGGGCGGAGGTCTGAAAGAACCAACTCCGTTCGGAGGAACATCGTAGGTCGAGTGCCTATGCATTGAAGACCTGCCCCGAATAAAACTTGAATCTCTTCCCGGAAAATCAAGGCCCTCCTGTTGGTTTCCCCAATAAGTGCCTAAGTTGATGCTTCCGTTGCCAGGGAAGGTTCCCGGACTAGTTCTTCCCCAACTGAAGTTCCTAGCTCCATGATCTAAGCCCCCCAAATTGAAAATATGGTTTCGCTGAATGGCTTCAGAGTTGGTTGCCGTAGTTTCTCGACCTGTTTTCCAAGTGGTATCTATAGAAGCCATGCCCCATGTTACTCCTGGTGCATGAAACTGCATGCCTGAACCAGCTTCATATTGGTTAACCGAGACATTATTGGGCCATTTATCTTCATCCATTTCAGCACTCGTGGAAGAATGCCGGCCATAACTCTTCTGACCATCAAGAACTTCAGACTTGGAGACCCCAATTGTCTCGATAGTCAAGGTCGACTCAGATGACATTCGTAGATCATTTGTTGAGCTCAAAGCATCACTTTTTCCTGGATCAGGTGCAGGGCTAAAGCAATATGGTTCAGCACCTTGAGCCAACTCACCATCCCAACGTAAAATCGATGTAGATGAAGTCAAGGCATTAAGAGACTCCATTGCTTCAACTTCAGCCAAGAGATCAGAAACTGACTCATCACCAAAAGAATACTCATTGGGGTTGGGAATAATTGGATCCCAAGCAGATGCATTTTCTGCAGGATCTGAGAGACAAGAATGTGCAAATTGACCACTTCCTGAACTTGGAGTAGCAGCATGATCATTTCCCAAGCTAGTCCGTTTCAAAGAAGACTGTAGAACAAGATCCGAGTCCCATTCCTCCGGAGAAGGTTTTGCTGGGGTGGAGGAATACCCACCCCATTCACTAGCTACTTCAGAAAGCAATGGTCCATTAACAACTAAACTAGAAGCTGAACTCCAACTAGGACCCGAATCTTGATGAAGAGCACTCGCAGAAAGAGACTGTTTGTTTTTAGTACCCTGTGGTTTCGAGTCTTTGAGGTTCATCTTTGATGTTGAAGTAGGAAGATCGACGAAATCAATATCATGATTGTGCTCTGCTGCTTCAAGAGCCCTAGCTAGAGAAATGAGACCACAATTGGCATCCCATCCATTTGAAGCATTATTTAAAGGTGATCTCCAGCTTTGCCCACAAGATTTGCCTGATTGTCCCTCAGTATCATTTTGCTTCACATTTCCAGCAATAAATTGACCATTGGAGGTCTTGTTCGAATTTTCGTTCATGTTAATGGAACCACAGTCCCATTTTTCAACCCCATGACCTGTGATATCTAGATGAGACTGTGTTTCACATGATTTCCCAGAAAATGTAGATGATGGAAGTGAACTACTCACTCGAGGCTGGCCAGGGAAGTAATTATCACCCTTCCCAGACTCCCATTGTGTCAAAGGACTTCCTGTCTGTACTGCATTGGAAGTGACAATATCTATGGCAGTAGTACAAGAAGAAGATCGCGAGCCCAATTCTTTGCTCTTTGCAGATTCATTGTTACCACAACAAGGACCACTTGCATCATTCTGCATCGAGTTCGAGCTCACCTCCACCTGTTTACTTTCAATCTGATCCACATTCAGATCCCAACTCCCTCTAACATCTCCAACCTTGTTCTGATATCCATCATTAGGGGAAAACCTTGCATCGTAAACTGGTATGCAGCTTTTATGAAACAGCTGTTGCGGTTGGCTGTACCGTCCAGCCAAAGCATCTGTTAAGAGAGTGGAATCCTCTTTCCTTTCACTTGCTCTCCATACTCTCAAATCAGGTGGGAAAAGACCACTCATGCTCCACCTACGTAACATTGCCATAGGAAATGGCCCATGAATTTTCCCAAGTGGATCTTGATAGTGCCATATTTTTTCTGTCTCGATATTATTTACAGATAGCTCCGTCTCTGTAGAATGCGGTGTCATGCTAGATTCTCTGCTTCCTATATCACTCAAGACATCACCTCTCTTCAGTGGAGAGGGGGGCTCCTTTTCCTTCATATTAAGAAACAAAGGATACCCTTTTGTGAGTCCCTTGTCACTTGCACAATCTGTGCCTTCAGGCAAAGGCATCCCTATCATAACACCTGATTTCTCTGCTTCTAGAGGTTCAGCTTTGTTCAAATATGTCTGTTGTTTAATCGTTTTTCTTCTCTTAGAATAACTAGCACCTAGGTCTCCAAAAGGCCTTTCCGTGCCTACACCTTTAGCAATATCTTTCAGCAGATTTTTAGCTTTAATAAGCTCACATAAACTTAAAGATAGCTTCTCTTTCAATAAAACCCAATACATCTTGAAGAGATACTCCCAACTCGTTTGATCATCAAAATCTACTTGAACCTGCACATCGTAAATTAAAAGGCTTACAAGTTAGACAATGGCTCTTCAATCTTCAGTAATCTAAACATGCCAATTACAACAGTTACCAAACAAGGAAGCACAATTAATCTGAAAAATGGCACGAGTGACGAGACATTCAAAAAGAAATCAGTTGTATAAGGAATAGTTAATCATACCATTTCATTGGTTCCGAAAGCAGTGCTTTCAATCATCATTATAGTTTTCATGCACAATCCACAAAATCCTTTATTTCCTCTTACGTTCACATAATCAGCAGCATCTTTAGTGCAATTCTTGCACAAGGAATATGTGCAAGTATAGCACATATAATACGAAGACTTATGACAAGTGCTACATATGTGCCACCCTGAAATGCGCAACAAATAGAACACCAGATAATTAATGGAACAAACAACTTAGCCGTTGCTAATAATTGAAATAAAAATGTTACCATAATAACCGTTTGATCTGCAAGAATCCAAGTCCCGAACAAATAGACAGTATGATATCGGCGTGAACAATATGAAAAAGTAGAAGAGGTAATGCAATAACTACTTCATGAGCAATAATCCAAACTCAAATGACAGACACCCGAAGCCACCACTCGATAGACACATGTTAATGGTATGATACCATAATATAATTAAGATTAATATAGCAAATTCAGTAACTACACAAGAACAAAGAATCCAAACCGGCGACCGACATGGAAAGCTACCTTTCAAAACACACATGTCAACAGAAGAACAGTTTTAACCGCAAAGAAGCTAAGAGGAACAGTTTCAACACACACATGAAAACACAGGCTTGGACACCTCGCAGCAGTTATATTAGTTAAACTTGAATGGAAGTGAAAAATATTTACAAGGAGTTACTAATATGCAACATACCGCAGTTCCATTTCGCCTTTGATTTAAAGAAGGCCTCATCCCTTTTGATACAAGCTGGATGGTAAGCCTTAGGACAGCCTCTGATCCATAAAATACAATATAATCAGCAATGATGAACAGCACAAAAGGGAAGGAAGAAGAAGAAAGAATACACAAGTCAAAATGAACAGAAGAAGATAAGAGAAATTAAACCAAATTTCCGTCGACAAAAGAAGAAGACCATGAATTGCAATATATGAAACTATTAGTATTAAAAAATAACAAAAAACTGAAGATCATAGGCATCGGCATAGAAATTCCATGTTTAGCTGAAATTTTAACTCCAATTCAAAATTTCCAAAATTAAAAGCTCAGATAAACTGGATTCAGCAAAAGGTTAATAAACTTTCTCAGCTCAATCGCTCTTCCGTTTTCTTACATTTTCTGATCATCAAAACAATAGAAATAGAAAAAAAGACAATAAAACTGCAAATTTCCAAACTCACCGGCGATCACAAAGCACGAGACTCCCGCCATCAAAGCATATAAAGCAAACATCTTCTTCTTCTCCATCCTGGTTCTCCCTCTGAGGCGGCGCCGCCGATGATGAATCGACTTTCCCTTGATTTCTGGGTGGTCTTCCGCGTCTGCGCTTCCCAGCTGTCATCTCAACAACTTTGACTCCATTAGCCGCCACGTCAGCTTTCCCAACGATCATATCCGGACTCCTCTGGCATTGATCGGACCTCGTCAACTCCTCCCCCCGTAAACAATCACGATTCAGACAATCATTATTTTTCCCAACACCAGCACAAGCCATGGTGATCAATCCCCGATATTAAAAATAAAAACGAAAAAAAAAACTCGTTCTTCTAAGTTTCTCGTAGAAAAAAAAACAAATGAACAAATAAAGAAAAAGTTGAGAACCCTATGGAAGAAAATGGGGGTTAGGCAGCGGTGGTGGTGGAGGAGCTATGAGTAGTAGTAGGCACATGGAAATGGAAAATGGGAAATTGGGAAGGGACGTGACAAGGCGTTGTTTGGCAGCAAAAAGGAAGAAAGAAGGAAACTTTAACAACCTTTCCAAAAAGCATTTTGCTTTGAAAGATATAGAAAATAGAGAAGAGGCGCGGACACTTGTAATTTTGAAGTTTTTTTGGGTGGTAAATGTGTTTGACGTCAAACGCGTTTGAATGGTCAGGAGAATGGGAGATCGAGTGCTTGATTCTCTCGTCCGAGGAATTTAACATTAAATTTAAAAACATTTGAAAGTTTAGGTATTAAAACGAACCAAAACTGATAGTTTAGGTATTAAACGCGTTAAAATTTGAAGGATGGGTACTAAAATAAAATAAAAAACTAAACATTAGATATGATTTTAAAAAATTTGAAAGTTTAGGTACTAAACGGACCAAAAATGATAATTTATGTACTAAGCGCATTAAGTTTTTAACAGCGTGATACTAAAATGAAACAAAAATTAAATATTATGTATGATTTTAGGAAAAAAATGAAAGTTTAAATACTAAAATTGACTAAAACCGGTATTTTGGATACTAAACGCGTTAAATTTTTAACGTGATACTAAAATAAAATAAAAACTAAATATTTTACAATTTTGAAATTTAGATATTAAAACGAACTAAAACTAATAATTTAAGTACTAAATGCATAGTTTACCCACTTTTAAAAATGGTGGTTTTTTTTTTTAAGAATTGGGGCCCAAGCGCTGGTGTGGTGCTCGGTCGTCTGTTTGCCTAATTCTCGTTCCCACTCGGTGGAAAATCACAGAACGTGGATTTCGTAGCCAGCTTTAGACTATTGTTCGAAGCTCCATTTTGACTTCTCGGTCGATGCTTTTACCGCGTTTATACTATGCTTGAAGAATAAAATTGCGGAGCATCCGCCATTTTGATTCTCAATCTGAATAACACTGTTCTAAAAACATTTTAAACGATGAATATACATATATATATATTAATAATATATTTTTTTATAAATAAATAATATATAAAATTTTAAAATAATTAATTAATCAAAAAAAATTAAATTTTAAATTCGATAAACGCGCCTTAATTATAGATTTATACTTACATCCACCACTGAAGACGACTGAAAACAGATGTTCAACTTGCCTTTTTATTGCTGCTATTGACAACTCATAATGTGAACATTTGGCCCTTGTGTTGTGTCTATGTTTGGAACTTAATGTAAATGTTGGGAATGATTGGGCCATCCTTGTTGTTGATTGGTACATATTTTATTTGAAAGAAAATAAAATGGTCCAACCAATGAAATTGTACCACTATCATACGGGCAAAAGGTTGAGTCATCCATGCGTGACCCTAATGTTGCCATTATAAAAGTTTTATTATATCAATGCTGTGATTCGGTGCACATGCAAAAAAAAATTAAAAAAGGGTTAATATAGTCTGTGTCATGAGATTATTAACCTATTTTCAGAAGAAAAAAAATACAATTAATGTGTAGCATCGTTGTTTTTAGATTTTGAGATTTCAGCTCTTTATTTAGAGCACGTGATATGATATCTTTTTACACTTAATTTTATGATATTTTTATTAATTTTATATTTACGATTAGTCTGACGTACTTATCCTTCAACATTATGTTTTTGTTGCGCAGGAGCCTCTTAAGGTGATTCTTGTTATAAGCTTTCCGGATCATGGGTTCACACACACACATATATTTCATTTTAATACTTTGTTATATTTTATTCCACTTGTTTTGTTTATGCTAAACTTTTTTTTTTCTTTTCATTTTGGATTCTGTATTAGGGATTACACCTTTTGGGAAATTTTGATTATCATTTGACTTCAGATGCGTTATGGCAATTCTTTGATTGGGTAGTTAAGCCTTGAGGGTTTCTTTATTTTTATTTTGTTTTTTACGTGCTTTAGTGATCAACCTTGTTTCTGCATTCAGTGGACCATCCACTCTAGCTTCTTTTGTATCTATTCTCTTCTTTTTTTGGCTTCGAAGGGCTGTCTATTCCCTTTTTGGTCCTACCTATTCTGGAACTCCCAATAAAGATATAGGTATTTACACCCTATTCTATCCGGTATGTGCCTTGATTATTTACATAATGAAGTGCTGTCTATTTCGGTGGTTTTAAATATGACTCCGAATTGTTCAGATCTTTATCTAGTTATTTTCAAGGGCTTTCATTTTCTTGTCCTAATTCAAGTCGCTATACAGGTTGCTGCCATGACAGTGAAGGTTTTATTCTTATCTTCCTCCTTACATGAATACTTCTCATGCCTACTCTCTTTTTTTTTTATAGATCTGGGTGAATACAAGGTAGTATCTATTCAAAGACTCTCAATCATTTCACAATAACGCTCATATCTTTGACATACGCGGTGCTCGAATTCGTATGTCCATGTTGCCAGCTTGGAGAAGACTTGCTCTTCACTGTTGGAGGCCAGCATGTTCCTTTTGGTGCATCACCTCAGGTAAATCTAAAATTGATTTTATGAGATTTATCTTTCTTCTCTTTTCTTTTCCTTTTTAATCCAAAAAAGTTCATGAGCAAGAGTGGCTACTCTATCTCCAAGGCCGGTGCAAGCTGCCAACCCATATTGGGATTTAGGGACCCATTGGTCTTCCACCTGCTAGCTTTTTGGACTTGCAAATCGCCTACCAATGGTGGACAGTGGTCAGTGGGATTTGAACCTGGGTGGGGTGCATGAAGAGTAAGAATCTTTATCTTCTTTTATCTCCCCTGGCATTGAGTGTCCTCTCTCGTCTCATGTGGGTTAGGGTGCCTTGTGGAATCCAGCAAAGCCAGTACCAATGATGCAAGAGTGTTTGTTGCATTGGACATTACACCTAATAGTTAGGCATGATATTTTGTTTTCTTCTTTGCATTCAGTTGTTGGTTGAAAAGGTTTTGTATAGTAGCATTTTATGCCTTAATTGTTTGCATATTTCCCCTCCATTGATTTTGTTTCCATGTTGACCAAATGGTTATTCATTCTGCTTCAGATCCTTCTTTGATGGCCACTTGGCCAGGTATTGAAAATAAATTCTACCTCAAACACCCAAAAAGTAAAGACAATGATAGTTCGAAAGGGTTTAGAAGGGCTTCCTATTGTGTTCATTTTATCTTAAAATCACTTTACTCTTAGAATGCCTATTAACAGGTTGTGAAGAATGGCTATATTGCAACAGTAGCACATTTTTATGAACAAGTTATACTGTTTTAGCTAAGACAGACGAATTTGAACTTTTCAACTATTCCATCTCCCTAATTTGAAGTAGATTCCAACACACTGGGGGAACGGTGGCATCCAAAGGCAGCAAGCAATTCCGTGGCCCTTTTGTTTTCAGCTATTGTCATGTGCTGGAATTGCCAATAACGTTCCCACAGTAGCAGGTATCAATCTCTGTATGTTATTGTTTAGTAAAATGGAGTATAAAACTCTTGTAGTTCATTTTCCTAGCAGCTAGTTGATCCATTAGGATGCCCCAAGGGTCTTTTCCCATCAATGCTTTGACGCCTAATGAGAAGATACAAAATAAGAGACCCGGCAACCACAAAATCTACCAAAAATACAAAAAGTTTCCGATGCTGGGGCCTGAACCCGGGTCTCTTGGTTAAGAGCCGAGTACCCTAAGCAACTAGACTACAACGCCTATATTTTGTTTGTTTTCAGTTTCTGGTAAATTTTGTTTTGTATGTTTCCCACACTGCTTTCCTATCGGTTGTATAAGTTTCCGGCTCGACCCAATTTCGTATTTTCAGTCTTCTCTAGCAAGGTTTGTCTTTTTCACGCGAATCTTCCTTTGTTTTCTTTATGGCTAACAGTTTCCCATCAATGTTTGCCCTGTACACCGATCCTCTGATTCTGCTATGTTCATTAAGGTTCATAGTTGCCCTCATAATCACATCAGCTTCATACATGATTGGCTTGCGTAAGTTGCCTGAAACTCCAGGAAGCAGCTTATCTTGCTTGATATTTTACCGGAAACTCTCACTTTTCGTAAAATCCTTCACTGGAATCAAACTGATCCTCTCTAAAGACGAACTGTTGTGCTTAAAGATCTTCTTCTCCTCGCGTATTAACACACCTGCTAAAATAAGCAAACAGCCTACTATGCTAAAAACAGCTATGAGGATCCCTTTGGATTTGCTTCCTCGAGGGAGATGAGTTTGCGAAAGAATCGGGAAGTCCGACACTAGGATCGTCAGTGGAGGAATCACTGCATAGTTAATATTCGGGTAACCATTTAACTTATTTTCATCAATGATAGCTGGTGCTGATTCATTGAACATGGCACTTACTCTCCAAATGCTGTCCTTTTGGTAACCATACATAGCTAATAAAATACTCGGTTCCGTTCTATAATTCAGCTGTCGTACGGCACTTCCAGATCAAAGGAAACACAACTTTGTCACCGGAGTGCGAATTTTTCGGCTCAGGAGAAGGATCCATTTGGCCCACTGCAGTAAAATTGGTGAGGCTATCGAAAATCGTGGTCTAAACTATGTAATATGTGTCACAAAGATTGATAGATATTCAATACTAGCAAAATGATGGTTCATGGTGCAACCACAGGTTATAGTAATCATCAACAGTTGGCCTGGGAACAACCGAGTATCTTCGGAGTAGGGGTTTCTAGCTCTTGCAATCTCTTGAGGACGTGGCATATGTCGAGCATGGGGCCAGATTAGGGGTGAGCTCTGATATAGGAAGGAAAAACATAGTTGAGTATGAAAAACAGAACTTGCAAGAATTGCCATTGTTGAGAAAGGAAAGAAATTGCCATAGATAACTAACTTAAGCATTAGAGAGAATGCTGGAGTCTCAACTCCAACACCCTATAGTTCACATTTGCTCCCTTGTGCGTAGGTGTTTCTCCAGAAGCTTTTTTTTTTCACCTTGGATCTCGTCTTCTCTAGAGGCCACCAACAACTACCTTTGGCTTTGCCATCTCAACAGCAATCCATCGAAATCCAGTCGATTTGGATATTTAGTTTTTCACTAAAAAGTCTGAATTTGAAGGAAAATTTCTTTCAACCTTTTAAGGGAGCTTTTATTTAGACCAACTTTTGTTGTTTTAGCTAAGACACCGTTACTTGGTTTCTTGATTATATGGAAGCAAAGTTGTATAGTTGAGAAGGAAGAAGACTAAATTTCAAGTTATCAACTGATACAGTGAAGCCTTAATCATCCCATGACCCTTTTTTTCTCAGCTGTGGTAATATGCGTTAGAGATTTTTCCTCTATTTTTGCCCAAAAAAGTTTCCAAGGCAGATATTAACCTTCGCATCTTATTGTTTAGCAAAATGGTTCATAAAAACTCTTGTAGTGCATTGTTTTAGGTACCTCCAATGAAGAGGAAAAAAAAATATGGCCCCAACAACAACAAAAGTAAAAAATTTACGTTATTGGGACTTTAACCCGGGTCTCTCAGGTGAGAGGCGAATATCCTAACTCACTAGACTACAACGGAAGGTTAATATGAAATATAATTGATTTATTTTATTAAATTATTTCATTTTTTGTCAGCTTGGTTTAGTGTTCTTCCAACACTTTGCTTCCCTAGACGTTGCATCACTTTCAGAATTGGTATTTTCAGCTAATGTGGCGTTGAGTTAATACTGGGTTATTCTTCCACTTACCCATTTTGATTCTACATTCTTATGATATTCTCAAGCTGCCCTTTTGATTGGATGATAAGAAAAGGCAATGAAATGTTGTTTTTAGATGGTTTAAAGGAGCTTGAACTAATGAACTCATTGTAAAAACATCCATAGCATTTTATTCGCAACAGAAGAAGGCACACTCTTGAATACCTAAATCATTGTTAGCTACCTTGTACTTCATACATGATCGGTTGAAGAGAAAAAACCGAGGTCTACTTCATACACTCTTAATGACCCTTTTGTTGTCAGCTATGATCAAGTGTTGGAATTGCCAGTCTCTGCATGTCATTGTTAGTAAAATGGAATATAAAACTGCTGTGGTGCATTTTCTTAGCAGCTGGCTGATCCATTAGGATGCTAATCAGGGTCTTTTCCCATCAATGCTTTGACGCCTAATGAGAAGATATAAAAAAAAAGCCCCAGCAACCACCAAATCTATTCAAAAATATGAAAAGCAGCAAAATGTTCCGTTGCCGGGACTTGAACCCGGGTCTCTCGGGTGAGAGCCGAGTATCCTAACCAACTAGACTACAACGGATCTGTTTAGTTTGAAATTTTTAAAATAATTTTTATTTTTTATTTCAGCTTAAATGCTCCCCTGGATATCATTAAATAATCTTGGAAGTGAATGCCCAATTATTCTTACATTTGTTTGGCCTTGAATAATTCTTACAAGTAATTTTTTCCTTTAATTTTAGCCTCATTGATAGCTCATTGGATTGTATATTTATTTATTATAGTAGTTAAATTTCGGATCGTTTTTTTTATGGTTATCGCATAAATATTAGTTATTTTCAAACATCTTTAGAAATGTTTAACTTTTCAAAAGAATTTTCATGTTTGATTTCAGCTTTAAATGCTCCCCTGGATATCACTAAATAATCTTGGAAGTGAATGCCCAATTATTCTTACATTTGTTTGGCCTTGAATAATTCTTACAAGTAATTTTTTCCTTTAATTTTAGCCTCATTGGATTGTATATTTATTTATTATAGTAGTTAAATTTAATATGTTGGTATATTTACAGTGAAAGTCGTTTAAGCAAGATTGTTTAAGGCCTGATCACATGCATTCCATGAGGCTTTCAAATCTATCATTTAAGCAATCCATATAGTGATTTTCCATCAGCATTAGCATCCATACCTTCAACAGGAGAAAGCTTGTGATTTTGTCGCTTAATCTCCCACTGTTGTTTTAGTTGTCTGGTTTTGGCCTCTTCTGCTGTATCTTCAAAAAATATGTGACAACTTCAACTCTCTTTCTTCCATGGCTTACTTTACCTCCAACATGTACAACCACATTACATTTCAAAGGCAACTTCCATCTACCTCACAGTAAAACAAAGCTACATACACATTCCATAAAATGAACATAAGTTCAACAAACTTCTATAAAGACAATATAGCCCCTTTTGGCTGTAATGAAAGAACAAAAGATAGACACCTCCAATCCTTGACCAGCTGCATTTTCAACATATCTCACAGATGGGAACATCACTTGGATTTGCCACACCAACCCGAATATGCCGGCTAGCATGCTTATTGCACATGCGGACCTGCCACATCCATCAACAACTCAAAGCAAGGTTTCAATCTTCCAGGGCAATCTAGAACAATGAAACAATCCTTATTCTAAGACATGACATCAAATGAAAGAGATGGAAGTTGTATTTTGATTTGTCAACTTTTGGTTTGATTGCTCTCTTGATGGAATTCACATCACAAGTTTCTCAAAAACAGTGTTGGATTTTGGGAGTTGTGGGGTTGAGAACCTCGCTGCTTCTGGAAGAACATATATTTAAAGAGGCAGGCACAAATCTTCAGAGAAGGAAAAATGTTTTATAGCAAAAATGCAGCAGCACCTGCAAAACTGACATTTCACAAACACTGCTAACTCTCAGCTTTTTACAGATCATTTCTTTTATATTTTTGATCTGTAACAGAGGACAAATTTCCAATTAATACAATCAAAAACCTTACCTATGCTTGTATATATAATTCAGATTACAACTTCTTCATGGAACCAAGACACACCAGGCCATTATAAGACCTGTAAAAACAATTGCAGCAAACAATAGCACAAACGAAAGTGAAATTGTTCATCACATTCTTTTGTGTGTTTTTGTTCAGCATCTTCAGAATGAAATATTCAACATCTCCATGCTCAAGCTCTCCATCATGGCATTTTCCATGAATCCACATTTAGCTGGTGCAGCCCTGTTGAAACTGCTGAGCCTCGGCTTGAATGAGCAAGACGAGAGTGGAAGGATTGGGATGTTCTCACAGTTGCAAAGCTCGACCATGTATCCGTCCGGGTCATGGAAGAACACTTGATCAACCCTATTCCCTTCATCTTCAACCACTGCTGTCACATACTTCATTCCCATGTCTTCGAGCCTCCTCATCACAAGCCCCACATCCCTACACTGTTACACCACAAACGGTTCCAACAAAAAAAACATTTTCAGAACCTGTGATGTAAACTAAAGTTTCAGACCGAGTTTCCTGAATCATACCTGGAATGATATGTGATTATCCTTGGGATTGATTGATCGAGGTTCAATGATAGCGTCGAAATCGTGGATAGATGGATTCTCAATCAAGTGTATACCAATTCCATAGTTATACAACCTGCATATTTGATCATGAAGGACAATGAGACATTTAATGTTGTTTTCATGGAAACTAAAAGAGAAGGGCAGTAAGTAAGCTTACCAAGCTCCATTGAAGTTGAAAGAAGAGGGGCGTTTGATGGGAACAAAGCCCAATATTTGTTCATAGAACCTCATGGAATCCCAAACTGATCTACACAACAATGACACGTGATTCAATGAAAGAAGTGGCAATGCCTCATACTTGCTTATTTCCTCAATCTCCATCATCATGTTACTCTTTACTCCAATTTGCTTTTTCTTCTTGCTTGCTTGCTCACTTGTTTGCACGCTTGTGGTCCTTTTATAAAGCAAATGTTTGGGGATTCAGATTCAAGTAATTATCAGGAACTTTCCTAGCAAATTCTCTATACACGAGAAATTGCCTTGAAAAGCATTAAAAGTGCTTCACTTAAATATCATTGAACATCACTGTTTAATTATTTTTGGCTCCAAATTTAGGTAATTAAGCTTTTAATTAAAAGGCTATAGCTAAACAAACATCAAACCCTTCGAGGTATCCCACGGACAGAAAAGTAGAAAGTTCCAAAATTGTAGGAAATTTCTTTGATGCTTCATCGAAACAATTGATAATAAACGTTTGGCCAGCCAACTAAAACTATGTAATTCAAATGAAAATAAGCAAATAAAATTATGGCATTTCGTGCAACAGAAAGACGCTTAACATAGATGATCATACATAGACTAGTTATAGACATTTTCACTGAATTTTCTAAATACAATCCTAAATATCATAACTTTTTTTTAAAAGCAAAGTGATATACATTCTTATATCACATGAATAGCCCTAAGGACCTTGTGGTGGAGGTGGTGGCTGGAATTGTTGAATTCCATGCGACAAAGCTGACAGCAAGGATGAAAGACGAGCATTGGCATTTTGTTCATCATACTCGCGTTGAAGCCACCAAGCCCTGATATCTTGATCTAAATTCAAAAACATCTCTCGTTTCACCGGGACTTGGAATATTTGGGTGGCAAAGAAATACAGAAAATGCTTTTTCGGGATTTCATTTTCCAAAGCTCGCAACGCATCCATTGCATCTGAAATAGTATATTGAGAACGAGGAGAAACAACTTCGTTCATCGACTTCCTTTGATTAGCCATACTCTGACATAACTTCTCGATCTGAGCAGCCAAAGTCTTTCCTATTGATCTTCTAATCGGAATTGATTTTTTACCTTTATCATGTACAACCCCGAGCATTCGCTTGCCGCGACTAGAAGTTTCAAGAGAAGGGTCTAAGGCTACCTCAAGATTAGGAATTTCCTTATTCTTGGTACCATGTTCATTCGTATCACCAGATCCCTCAACAGGTTTAGCATGCTCCGTAGAAACTCCATTAGGAACGACACCAGACGAAACTGCCCATGCAGGTTCTCCGGTCGCTGTAACGTCACCAAACATTTTCCACAGTAACTCATTCAACCGTGGTTCAATTCCTTTCTTTTTAAATCCTTTGAAATCGGGATTTTCCTGCATAATTGTACAGTATTAAACGTTATACACTTATACTGAAGTTTTCATAATAATGTAAAGTACCAAATTCAATGAATTTGACATGTTAACATATTGTTACATGCAATACTAACCAGTAACTTTTCAGCCCACCATTCTTCAGTGGCATCGATGGTCCTTTTAAATGAACACCATCCGAGACCAGGAGAGTTCTTAAGTAACACATTCCATAACCTCCATTCCTTTTTTAATGTATCCCACTTATTTTTCAATTGTGGTTTTCCATAATTCTTCTGTGTTCTTGCTTTAAAAAAGGTAACAGCATTTTCCCAACCTGTTGTGTTTAGATGAGTTGTTGGTCTATTACCAGCATCAACTTCTTTTACACAAATTTCACAAAACGTCAAGGTGAGGTCGTCATCCCAAGTAGCTTTCGATGCCGAGATACTATCACTCTCCACAAAATTACTTGACTTCACCATCTACTGTTTCGATTCGAAATGTCAAAGCCAAAATCAAGTACCACGAAAAGAATGGAACTCATATCCGTTTATTCTCACAGTAGGTTAGCAGAAACAAATAAAATAATTCATCAAGATAATTAAAGACGCTCCAACAAAGAACCAACTTGAAACATGAAAAAGGCCTCGGCATAATTAAAGACCCCAATTGAATTCACATATCTTGCACACTGAAGGCAATGAAAGGATGCTTTAAAGATACCTTTCTATGGAACCCGAGAGGAAACTTTTACACCAAAAGTGAAGTTTTAGCTAGAAAACAACTAAAAAATTGACCCACAAATAAAACCATAGCATGGTTCTTGAAACACCATATCATACTACTCATCACCAGCCACCAGATTAAGTTCCATCAATTCCCACAATGAACTATTCCCTTGTGTGCTTTTAATCCTAAGCAGTGAAAGAATGGAAATTTAGAAATCTCAGGCAGAAGCAGAACAATGAACATACAAGATCAGTAGAATTAAAAATTGTCAAGGTTAAAACCCACTTTTGTAATTAAGTCAATTCTTGCCAAACCAATAAAGAACAAGACACTAGAGCCCAAAATTCCACCGAATAAAAAGGAAGTTAAATTTTCGAATCACAGGCAACAATGAGACACTACGCCCAGTTCCTTTCAACAATTTTCTCAAAATCAAAAGAAAACAAAAGCAAACTAAGTATTAAACATTGTAACAACCAACCTTTAGTAGGCAGCAGCAATTTGATAGCAAACCAGAAGCAGCTAGGGCTCCCAATCTGGATTAGACTTCTTCTATGTTTTAAAGTTCTGGGCAACGGCTTTAACCTTTTTAGCAGATTAGGAGAGAGGTCGTGATAGGCCTTGATCGGAGCAAAAGAAGAGGCGATTGTTGACAAAGTGAAATGGTTAAAATTTAGGGATGAATCTGAGGCTGTTAAAAGATAAATAGTTTTACTCTACTTTCATCATTTTTCTGTTTCCTTTCCTACTCATCGGAAAGTAGTTATCTTCACTATATCTTCTTCATTGGGTAAATTATTCCATTAATCACTAAACTTTAATTTATATACTAATTTAGTCATTAAATTTTAATTTACATATGATTTTATTATTAAATTTTACAACACTTCAATTTTAACGCTAAATTTTTTATTATTTTTTGTTACTAAGCCCCTAAATCACTATACCAATATAATGATGTGATTTTTTTTAAAATTATTTACTACAATCATCATCATTATCAATCATCATTCATCATCAATAATCTTTCCTAATAAGAATAATAATAAAATCTTCGCATTTCACATTATTTTCTTCTTCTTAGATTAATTCTTCATGAAATTTATTAAAATAAAAAAAATCATTTAAAATTTTGACATTCTAAAATTTTAATCTCCTTCCGTAAATAAACATAAATAAGAGAAAATTATGACAAGACATCAATCTAAATCCTAGATAAATTGAATGTGATAGTATCCTATCAATAATTCTCTTTATATCTTGGATTCATCGGAATTTAGTTCAACGAGATCACTAATGTATCATACATTTATTGGACAACAAAACATTTTTAACAAGAGTAATAAAATCACCCATAAAATAGTTACCAAATAAAATATTAAATGGTAACTCTACTTTACCACGGTCTAATTTAAGGTCAAAAAAGACAAAAAAATAATAAATGTGACCGAATATATTATAAAAATCATAACATTTTTTATTAGATGCAACCTAAAATATAAAATTAGCCATAAAATGATTACCAAATAAAGTATTAAACGAATAATTTTATCCTATGATAATCTTTTTATGTAAGGCAAAAAAAGGACAAGAAATGAACACGACCAAAAATATTATGAAAATCATAACATTTTCAATTAGGTACAACCTAAAATATTAATTTTTTTAATATTTTCAATTAAATCAAAAAGGTTTTGCATAACTTAAAATGTTATGATCTTTATAACATTTTAGATCGCACCTTCTCTTCGCCTTAAATTAGGCTCGCTTTCCTTTCCTTAGGCTCTCCCATTTGAACACTTATTTTGATTAAAATAAATTCACACCTAAACCAATATATGTATATATATATATATAAATTTAAAGACTATTAACCTTACAAAAACACCATAAAATCAAAAACAAACAAATTTCATTTAATTATCAGGTGATTATTTATCTGTCTTTTAATCATATGATAGTAAACCATATCCTTATGACAGGTACAAATGGAACAAGGATGACATAAAACACTTTCAAGTAAAAACCCAACTTCAGAACACAAACATCCCTTGAACAAACTCAAAACAGTAGCATTATCTGAAAGTTCAAGAGCGTTAATAGTCTTTAACATAAAATAAATATGAAGGACAAAAGAACTAAAAAAACAACTAGTAGTATCCTACTCCACCTATGCTTTATCGGCTTTGGCAGCAGTAGCGGCAGCTTGCCCTCTGAGTCTACCGGTCCTCCTTGCGGCAATAAGACCAACCTTTTGACCAGGTGGAGCACCACGTCTAACGGTACTAGCGTGACCAATATGTTGATGGTTACCACCTCCGTGGGGATGCTCGACTGGATTCATAGCCACACCACGGACCTTAGGCCAGCAGTTCCTTTTCACTCTGTACTTGTGGAAAGCATTACCGGCCTTAAGAAGGGGTTTCTCAGTCCTACCACCTCCAGCAACTTGGCCAATCATGGCTCGGCAACAACTTCGAACAATCTTCTTCGCACCCGATGGAAGCTTGATCCTGTAAAAATAAAATCCAAGAATCTAAATACCAAGTTCATCCATAACTAATCACCACACACTTCCAAGGATTACGGCAATATCATCTTTGAAACATGACAGCCTTAAGATAAAATGAAATTCAATATGTAAGCACGAGAATGCCAAACATCAAATATCGAACTAAAACATCAGTTGAAAGTATAATCTTTGTGCCTAAGAGATGTTGTTTCATTTTACATCCCATCAATTCATAATTCAATCAGGTTCAATCTCAGTTCTTTCTCATATGTATAGTTGGAATGAATAAGAAATAATCAAAACAACATAAGATAATATAGGCACAGCTTCAGATAAAATCAAACATGAACAGATCCAAATAAAAAACAAAACATGGTAAGAATCAAATACCTGGTGGTATCGTTATCAGGATTATGACTAATAACGATAGCGTAATCGCCAGAAGCCCTAGCGAAAACCCCACGGTCACCGACATGGTGCTCGACATTGCAAACGACAGCTCCTTCAGGGATAGATCTAAGAGGCAAAACATTTCCGACCACAAGGGTAGCCTTCTTACCACAATACACGAACTGTCCGGTGTACATACCCTCGGCGGCAACGAAGAGTTCCTTCTGCTTCTTGTAACGGAACGGGTGGCGGAAGATGACGCGGGCTAAGGGGGCGCAGCGGCCGGGGTCTTGGATGACCTCGGTGACGACACCCTTGAGGTAGCCATTTCGTTCGCCAAAGTCGAGACTGCGGAAACGGGCAGGACCCTTGCGGTGGTGGGTGTGGGCCTTGAAGACGGAACCGGGACCCTTACGCTGAGCTCTGATGACTCGTCCCACATGGGGCTGTTTGGATGGGACATTCTCCCGTTTGTTTTGACCGGAAATGTCATTTTTAGTAATATTTTATTATTAATAATAGATTTTTGAGTATATTATCGGGAATATCATTACCTTCCTTTTTTTAGGTATTGTAACATTACCGGTATTTTGGATTAAAATGCCCTTAATTTTTTTTTCAAAAATATTATTCTTCTGTCATTGAATAATAAAAATTTTACGAATGTTAAATTACAAATTTATCCTTAAACTATTTTAGATTTACAAAAAAAAATCTATAATTAAAATTTTATATGAAGTTCATAGGTTAAAATAAAATTTTACTCTTTCATTAAACCTTTTTTATATTTTTTATTTTGTAAAAATAATTATATGAATTTAAATTTTTTTAAATAAAATATATAAATATTTTCCAACTTGTAATATTATACAAATATATAATAATGACAATTTGGTTAAATATACATTCCAATAATCTTTTATTCCTTTAATCAAACACGGTAATTTTACATTTCTGCTAAACCAACCAAACACAAAATACAACATTCCCAGTAATCTTATTCCCTGATAATATTTTATTAGCACTGGTAATTTTACATTCCGTGAACCAAACACATCCTTAATGAATTCTGTGAGGAGATCTGTCTCTAGGAGATGACATATGAGAGGGTATTTGAATGGGGTTAGGGTTTTCGTGAACTTAACAACAACAACAACAACAAAACCATAATCTCATATGTAATGGGATAAGGGGGAGGTAGGGTAGTAGGTTGTTTCTAAACGCAAGGTTAAGAGCAGCTTCCGTGGAAGACCTCCGATAGTCAGAAAAATTAAAAATAAAGATAAAATGCAATGCATGTATAAGTAAATAAATAAATACATAGTTGAACATTCTTCATATGCAGTATTCATATGCGCGTCTGTAATGGGGAGTAATCCCTGCAAATAAATCCCTGCATACAAATCTCTGCATATAGACATAAACGTAAGACCTGACTAAATTTAAAAAGAAGAAACCTGAAAAGAATGCTACACAGAAGTCAACGATAGCAAGCTACAAGAAGGAATAAAGTCAAATAGGTTAAAACCTAAATTAAGGCAACACCACTCTGGTACCTTAATTCTAAGCCTTCATAAATTCCAATGAAAGAAACGTAAAAAGTAGAAGTCATGAAAATTACTACAAAGGCATTAAAAAGAGGACAGATGAGCTACACCGTATGACTGTGACCTGCAACTACTCGACTACCCTGGTCTTAAGTCTCCATACTTTCCTATCAGAGGTCATGTCATCGGTAAGGGCTAAATCCTTCAAATTAGATCGCAAGCAGTCTTCCCACTTCCGTCTTGGTCGTCCCCTCCTTCTGGCACTGTCGACTGTAATTGACTCTACCCTCCTGACCGCTTCTGACGTTGTCGCCTAAGGACATGCCCAAACCACCGTGGTATTCCCTCCCTCAATTTTTCGGATACAAGCACCACCCCCAAGGACCTCCTAGTAGCAGAGTTTGGTGTCATGTCCGACAGAGTCCTACCATATGCCTATAGAAACATTCTCATTTCTGCGGCCTCCATCCTCCTTACGTGATCCTTTTTGATTGCCCAACATTTTGATCCATACAGCAGCGCTGGTCTTATTGTCATTCTATAAAATTTTCCCTTAAGTTTTAGAGTTACTTTCTTGTCACACAAAACTCCAGTAGCAGCCCTCCACTTTAGCCATCCCGCCTTTATATGGTGTGTAACGTCATCATCTGCACCCCCATCTTTATGTATCATAGACCCTAGGTACTTAAAACAATCCTTTGAGGAGAGAACATGTCCTTCTATGCATACTTCTACATCTTCATCGTTTTGGTTCCCACTAAAGTTTGAAAATAAATACTTTGTCTTTTCAATATTGATCTTTAAACCTTTTTATAGCAAATTGGAAATTTGGGCTTATTCATATGTATTATAAGGAAATGAGAAAAAAAAACATTTAAGAAAAAACAAAAAATCAATCAGTTACCTTTAAAATTATTATAGTAATGATTTAATTATTAAATACAAAATATTATATTTTTTTTTCATATTATTAGTTTCTTTATTATTTATTAAAATATTTTTATAATCATATAAATATGTAATTAATTTAAATTTTATTTGTATTAATTATCTAATAATTATTTAATTTGAGATAGTGTTAAATATTGATTTATCCTGGATCTTAAGTTCAAGGTTTGTTTTGGACCCAATAGGCCAATTAAGATAAAATGTTTGGGATATAAGGTTGTCAAAAAAATATTTTAGGATCTACGACATTTTTCATTGTACATGGAGAACTCGTCATCTTGATATAACGAGTTTCAAAGGATATTTATTGTTTTAGTTATTATTATTTAGTTAATTTCTCTAAGGATATTGTTTCCTTCATTACAGGGATGTTAGAGGTTTCAGACTCTATCTTGTTACTCCGCTATAAGATCACACAAACTGTTATTTCGAGTATCACTTGACGACATTTTTAGAAACCTAAAAATGGAGAAGATCTAAAGCTAAGAAAAGACGTCTTTTTCCTTCTATAGCCCTTGGGGAAATACTAATTTATTGTTAAACCTGAATGAACAGAACACCTCCTCCCGCACGTAGGCAACGAGGGTCAAAGCTCAGCTTTGAACCACCATCGAGATACATTATAGATGTTTCTTTTTGTTTTTTTGGTTGTATGGAGCCTCTTACCTGCTCTAACAATATGGTTGTTGGCCCGCTGCCCGCTGCATGTGAGCTTTTCTTTAACAAGAGAAATGGTTTCCCTCTCGTTTGCACTTGTTGGCATTATCGTTTTTAAAGGTCTTGGCCTTTAAAAAACCGACGCGCCGCGAAGCGGGTTTCTTTGCATTAATCAGGTTCCCTGCATTAATGTGTTTCCAAGCATTAATGAGTGTCCTGATGAAAGCCTCCCCGAGGGAGGTTTGGAGGAGTAACGTTCCTTTTCCTTCTAGCCTTTTGCTTGCGAAAAAACAAAAAACAAAGCAAAAAAGTGACGAATTCTATTAAAATAATAATATTTTTTATAATTATTTCGAAAAATAGAAGAAAAAATTCTTCAGAACTCTCACCTCGAGGTGACGAGTTCTTCTAAGTTTAAATATACAATAATTTAGAAATAATTGAAAAAGTAATTTATGACCGTTTGACGTAACGAGTTTCGACTGTCATTTTGAAAAGAAAACCATGCTTCGTTTTATTAGCATCCCTGCAAGCGGTGGCTGATGGATCTTGACCAAGGCAGACCCGTCCATAAAAATGGCTGTCCCAGCTTCAACCAAGACCAAAAGATCTAGGCACCGACAGGTCAAAATAGGACATTTCAAACGTTAAAGATCACTACAAAACAAGTCCCATATATAAAAAAGAAAAGATTTTGAAGCATTTAATATGCAGGGCCATCGCTTTGAATGCCAATAGTCTTGATGACAGATAACTTGCCAATCACTAATCAGGTTTGAAATCAAAATCAGCTACTTTGCTCAAAGAACCCTAAATGGACCCCCAGATGCATGTGCAAAGCGTACCAGATTGATGCAATGTAGACACTTGCTGTATTTTTTTGAGTCGGCTCCCCATCTTATCAAAACATTATGCAAACACATAATAGGAGTGGCAGCGGGTGGATATATATCTGCTTTCTGTTTAATTATCCAAATTCAAATACGGTAAATCTATTTCAAAATATGAATCCGATTCATATTTACTTCGAGTATGTTTAAAGACTCTTCACTTATTAGAATTTTTAAGATACGGACGGCATATTAAGGGTATTCTCAATGTCACTTGAGGGGAAAACAGCATACAAACTGTAAAATAACTAAGAGAAAGGAAAACGCCAATGGGTTATTGTCAGCAAAGAACTCTCATGTTCCCTGACCCTACCCTATTGAAGATCGTTCATCCGATCATTGCCGTTAGTGATCGGAAAACGATTTCTTCGCAAGGGATTCGGAGGTCGGTGTCGCGGCTGAACCCGAACTCCTCTTCTGCTTTTCGGAGCAAGATCTGAAACTCGGGGCGATCCAACCACGATATCGGTATTATGTATCTGCTTCTGTTTTTCCCGACGTACACAACAAAATGGCCTTTAGGTACATCATCCGGAAGGCTTCCTTCGTGACCGTGGCCGAAAGAACTCGAACACTTCTTAAGAATCTGCTTGATCGCCGCCCTTTGAGGTAGTTTGCTCGGTATCTTGATGGCCATATCTCGAATTTCAGAAGAATAAAAAAAATCACTCAAGCTTCGAACATTGAGAAGGAATATAGGTGTACTTATATGGAGGTAGTGTGGGAAGTGATCATTTTCATGTTGGAGACAATGTCATGTGGGAGGAAATGAAATGAAACAGACCAAAGATTGACTGTGTTAAAGTCAAGCATGCAGGGTTTTCGAGTTCGAAACGGCCTACCCTTTTGTTTCTCTTGTGGACAACATGGGTCCATTTTATCTCTCCGTTACACTTATAAAAAGAAAAGAAAAGAAAAACAAAAAAATGTCGCTGTCCCGCTCTTTAAACGTGTCCGATTAACATAGATCAAACGATTTTAATAATTAAAAAATTATCGTTATTCTTTAAGATCATTAGATCGAATAATACGTCCATATAATGTATATCATTATCAAATTGTTTAACATAAGTTGTCATCCTATAATAGTTCATTTTTCACTGTAATCATTGCTAGCTGTATAGGAGTTCAGCCCGTGAGTGTTTAGGCAATTGCTTATCATCGAAATTTCGACTAGTTAACGATATTCTATTTTCGAATTGTTCACATATTTTTCGAGTCTAATATGAAATAGTTGATTTTAACTGGTTAAAAATTCAATTTAAATTCATATTAAATTTATTTAAATTAAATATTAACTTAATATCGATCCAATCATATTTAAATAATTTACTATTTACCCCGCCTTATTTACAATCCTGATTGAGTGGTAAACTCACAAAAGCAGGCCATCTTCTTTGTTTCAGCTTCGCTTTTTGTCGGTTAAGCCAGAAAGCTCGGAGCAGATTAAATCCAAATGGATTTTAATGATTAAAAAAATTATTATTATTTGTCAAACATTACATACGTAAAATTATGAATGTTTGTGATCAAATAATTAAGAATTTTAAATAAATATTATTTTATATTTAATATAAATTATATATTTAGTATTGATGAATTTTGATATATTTTAATATTTTTAAAATAATATCTAACATTTATTTATTTTATTTTATTTTAGTATCCATCATTAAAAAATTAACTTGTTTTATCTTTTTAACACTTAAACTATTAGTTTTGGTTTGTTTTAATACTTAAATTTTTAATTTTTTTTAAAAAAAATTAATGTTAAATTTTGAGCGGAGTACAAAAATTAAACTTAAGTATAATTTTAAAAAACAATAATCACCTTAAAATCAACAAAGAGTGTCAACAAGGCCTGATCTTTGTCATGGTTTAGGCCCTATCCGAGGAAGAATTTTTCTTTTTCTTTCAACCCCTTATTGATCGATATTCGCTTCTCCCGAACCCAAATCCCAAGACTTCCATAATTTGCCGCAGTTTCCAGTTTTCAACCACCTCCTCCTTCACTTTTCTTCAGTTTCACCAAGCAACAGCAAGCTTTTATTATTCGTTTTGAATTGTATATATAAACAAACGGTTAATAGGAGAGTGAGTGGAACGAGTGGGGGAAGGGAGAGAAGGAGACTGTGAGTGCAGCGGATGCAAGAACAGGAACTACGCCTTTAGATCTTTCTGCAACAAATGCAAGCAGCCTCGTCTTCTTGTTGACACCAAAACCCCTGCTGATTCCAAATGGCTTCCTCGTATTGGTGATTGGATCTGCACTGGTCTGTCCATACTCCTTTCTCTTTACATAATTTCTTATCATTATGTTGATTCTTCTTCTTCTTCTTTTTGATTCAATTATTAAATTTAAGATTAGATATCAAAGTTGGGTTCTGTAGTTTATATGTGTTTTGAGCTGTGATAGAACAATGGTCATGTAAAGATTTGATATTACTTTCCCTAATTACTGAATTAAAAATGGGTTATCTTTAAAAAACTAATTTGGAGAGGTAATTGTTGACAAAGTTGCCATTTTTATGAGTTCAATCTGTTGAATAAAATGCATGGTGATATGTGCTTTGCAAAGTTGAGATTAGGCAATCAGTATCAATTAGGTTGAGTGGTTTGTGTTTTTTGTGTGTGTACTTTGGTACTATGGGATGAACTTGTTGGTGTGCGTTTGTTCTTGGCTTCCTTGTCCTCTTCGTGGCTGCATTCGGGTTTGGGGTGTGTGTGGCAAATGGATCAATAGCTTGCACTAACAACAATTATGCATCAAGAGAGAAGTGCAAAAAGTGCGGGCAACTGAAGGAGATAGCAGCGATGCCCGGAGCTTCTCTCCCGACTTATTCGCATTATTTTGCCAGGGCCCGAGGAACACTGGAACAAAGATGAATGTCGGATTTTTAGGCAGTGGTTCTCCCCAGCAGTTGCTTCCTTTCAGTTCCAACTGGCATTTAGGCGGTGCTGATAATTTTGGACTTCAGTCAGCATCCACGTGGCCTTTAGCTGGAAACCAAACTCCTGGGGTTCCTTATGCCAGTCCTGGTAATCAGCCGCTTTCTGTTCCAAAGGGATGGAGAAATGGTGACTGGATTTGCAACTGTGGCTTCCATAATTACTCTTCACGTTCCCAGGTTGTATCTTACTGCCTGCACTGGAGTATGCATTATTCTTCGTGGTTTTACAAATTCTACAAAATATTCCATGTCATTACTTTTCTGATCAATCTGGTTTTATTGCAGTGCAAAAATTGCGATGCATCCATACCACCAGGTACATTAATTTTCTTTGTTTTGGTTTTAATGCTTATATTCTGATCTGCTGATTGGTTCTACTACTAGTGATCGAATCTTTACCTCTTCTTTGTTTTCCTTTTTTGGGTAATATAGCACTTGGAGCTAAGTGATCAGCATCTGAGGAATTTGTACACGATTGGGATCATAAAAGATTGAATTCAGGACAAGTAAGTAATCAGTTTTTTGTAGTGATATGTATAATTAATGTTATTTTCCGGCAGGCTTTGACATTTTTATGTACTGAACTACTGTTGCTCTTTTCTGGGTTTGCAGGGTCCTGGATTTGATCAAATAGTAGGAGCCACCAGTGACCCAAAACCTGGAGCATATCCTTCCTATCCCAGTCTAAACCCTGTTGTCGCTTCAAATTGGTCAGGGCCCGTTCCATTCCCTCCTCAAGCGCCAACAACAACCCTTCTTGGAAAAGGGTAAATTTCAATTAAGTTGATCCCTTGTATACACGCTTTTGATATACCTTGAACAAATTCGTTATTCATTTCATGTGGTGGATAATTTACTCTTTTGTCAACATATGGCAATAATATCCTTCCGATTCGTGATTTTGTTTGCTTCTAGAGTGCACTTTTCAGTTCTCTTTCTTCTTACTGATTGTAGGCTTGAATGTAGTATGCTAAAGAAATGGTCACGTGATTGGTAACGTATTATGAACTTCTGTGTTTAGAATCCAATTAGGTTTATGTTCAGTCTTTTTGCATTAAGATGCTGAGTAACATGTCTTGCAAATATGATATTTTTCATGAGATTCAGAGGATTGCTTTTTTACAAATTTTAAAATCCTCCATTTGTCAGAGCAAAACAATGGCGTTGCGGAGATTGGATGTGTGCAAAATGCAACAATCACAATTATGCATAGGTCAGTAGATAAATTAGTGGCTGTTACATGCTGATTTGTGCAAGCATTGTCATCTGTCGAAACACTGTTATTGATGCGCATTATACCCATCAATAATTTGATAATTTGGTGTCTGAAATGATTTCCTATTGGAAAAGAAAAATGCTTTATATATATGGTTGCCTGCCCAAGAGTAATGGCAATTTTCCTTTTTCTGTCGGTTGTTTTTCGTACAATAATCACTTAAGTCATTGCTTGAAATGTATATGATAATTGTGGAAACTTTTATTTCTTAAGACATCCACTTAATAGCATCTTTTCAAAGCTAGGAGTGAGTCCCTAATGCCCTGATCCTTGACCCTCCTTGGGAGGGTAACACCAATAGGTTGACAGTTTGACACTGCAAACTTAAGGAAGATAAATGCACTTTATTTTGGAGAAAACTCACATTTTGGTGGTTAATTTTCATCATACAGGTGTAAGACTCAGAGAGAGACTGACTCAGCCGGTAAATGTGGCATTGTCGCCATTTAATGCTGGTTTTGATTAATGAAGATTTCTCTAATACATTGCTCGGGTTATTATGTTTCTCTCTCTCCTTATTTTGATGTACAACAAAAAACAAAAGCTATAGGTTTGGTTTTCATTAGTAATGATTATGAGTTTTGAATTGAGAATGGTGCAGAGCTTTATTTAACTTTTTGTATAATACTAAATTGAATAATTTGAATGGCATTTCTTGTGTAAATGGTTGAAAACCTTGTGGTATATATGGCCGTATTCAGATTGATTGGTATTTGGCATAAACTATGCAAGTTGCCCATAATGCCTGCCTGGTTCCATGATACAACATCTTTCAGCCTGGTTCCTAATATTTGATCCTGATCTATCCCTGAAAACGTGCAACATGCTGATCTAACAACTGATATGGTCTCGGGTAGTCGTCCCTTACGCTGTTATTTTGGACAATGCTCAGTGTCCATTGTGTGGCCATGAATTGGAATCATCCCTGTGGTCTTTAATATAGCGTGGCATGAAGGTTACAGGAAGTTTACCCTGGAGTAGCATAACAATGCTGCAGTATTTCGAATATCAACGCTTTACTTGACATTATATGGGAAGTTACGATTGCTCGAGTTAAGAGGGAAGCGAACTCGGCTGCAGACTACATTGTGAGGAGCAGTACTAGTACGGATCATCAATTGCGAGTTTGTAAACAGCTGGTTCCAGGGACATGAAGACTTATGTCAACAGATGTTCTTAAAGGCTGAGCTAATGTTATTTTCTGTGTATCTTAGGCTAGTTCAGTAGACTACATTATATTTATAGCCAACAGTTAAGTCCACCAAGTTGGCCTATTGGTTAGAACTTGCAACTAAGATTTTATTCATGGAGGTATATAAAGAATACCATCCGTTCAGCATAAATTGCAGGTGTTGGAGAGATTAATAGCTTGCTTTCGAAAATGAAAAGAACATTGCATACAGCTCAAGC